ACACTGTTTGCCTTCCTTCCCACTAGCCCTGGAGTTGCTGGGTGTATCCTACAGCTCTCTCCTGGGGTCATGCTGTAAGTTAGTTTTAGAACAATAAGTGTAGCCAGTATCTGAGAACGCCTTCTATTTCTTGTCAATTAGACATTTCAGCTTTTAAATATTTTTAGATTCAAAAATTTGACACAGATGTAGGAATAAGAGATACATCAAAGTCAGCTGTCATTAAGGAAACAATTGTCCTCTGTTGGAGAGGGCCATGCAGCTATTGCCACATGATCAGCACATAGCACTGCAATTTAGCTACAAAAAGAAATAATAAATAAAGGAGGAACAAAGAGGTGAAGGCAAAAAAAAAAGGAAGGAAGGAGGTGAAGCCTGCTTCCAGCTGACAGTTTTGTGCCTTCCATGCACTTAAAATGAATGCTATCCAGCTTGCAGTGGTGTTGCTTAAATAGATTTACTGAGGCTCTTGCATTTTTTAGCTAAACACAGTCAAGGCAGGATTGAGCTTGCAGATTAGGATTTGTAGCTTGATATATCTGCATTAAGTTGTCTGCCTATGAACCTGGTATTTAAGCTCCCATTCTTATGTGAAGAGACACAGTTAATTCAGTTGATGACACCCAGAGAGCTTTTCAGCTTATTCCAAGGCAGATACCTGCACTGACGGCCTGCGCAGCTCTCCGGGCTCCACTGGGCTCATGGAGTTGCCTGAAGATAGGTGTCTAACACTGTTCAGGGTTTCCTACGATATCAGAGACATCTGCACAGAGCGACCACATGCAAAACCAGACTTAAAGGGGACATACGTGATTCTGGTCAAGCCAGATATCATAGCTCACAACATCTGAAAAGGCATTGGACGCCTCTGCTCAGACTCCTGAGTCCTGGCCTGGATCTCTATTTTTCGTAATGGGAGCTTAGCTTAAGCACCTTCTTGACACCTAAATATAGGTGTCTTTTAATCTGCAAGCTGAATCCCACTTTAGCAGCATTAGATAAACGAACTAATGCTTGTATTAAGAGCGTGGCTGTTTGCTCCGGTGCACCTGGTAATGCTTATGTGTAATGTGATGAGCATAAAGCACTGATTTCTCAGCCTTTTATATAAAATAACTGTATTCCAGGCATATCTGTTTTGCTGAAATTCTTCATGACTTGTAATGAGTCAATCATTAGTGCTAATTATGCTTACCTTTTAAAGTCCTGCTTCAGTTGAAGACTGGGTAGACTATGGCATTATTCAGAATGATGCCAGTTTGACAGTGCCTGTGATTGTGTCTGCGCACAGGGCACTGGCGTGGCACTGTCCTTTCTTTTATGAAAGCCATTCATTACTCTGCCGCCTCCTTAAATTTAGGAATCGATCCAAGTATGAATTCTCAAAGCCCATTGCGCCACCGCTTCCGCCAGTTCACAAATGCATCAGGGTGAAGCTGCACTTGAACAAGCATTAGCACTTAACTCACAGACCCTGTGTGCTGGCCGCGAAAGCTATCAATTTTTTGGATTTAGTTATGTTCAGAAGTAGAAATGAAAAAGAAGAAAAAAAAAGATGCTTGTTACTGCGCTGTATTGGTAGAGCCTCCACGGAGGTGAACAATTCTGCTGTTAACACCGCTTCGCTATTTATGGCAGCACTTCACTGATTTCATGATTTTCATTATTCTGTATGGCTTTTACTCCTACCCATCGCTCAGGAATGGCAGCATGTAGGTTTTCGCTATTGTGTACTTTGTCTCACACCATCGTTGGTGCTGTGCGAGGGCGCGGGTGCTCGGGAAGCGAAGGTGTCAGTCCAGGCAGTGCCAGCTAATGCCTGCTCCAGCCCCTTCAGTAAGGAACCATCATCAGGTTTCTTACTGTCTCTGCAAAGCTGGGTGACGCTTTGTGGTTTCTCACGTTAAAGGAACTTAGTACAAAATGAAGTCTCCCCACAGATGGCTGATGGAGAGCTTCCCCTCTGTCTTTTAGTGCAGAATTAACTTCCTCATGTAAATCAGTGCTGTTGGTGAGCCAAGTTCACGTGTCCTGCTCCGTACTTGGGTAGAGGTTTATTCGCTGTTTTTATATTCATGGAAAGTGGGAACTAAAGCCATCAAATGATCTCCAGACCTCATAAAAGCAGAAGATACTTTGATATTCTCATTTAGTTTGCTATGGCCTTAAATGACTCCTAGTGCAGGATGCTGGAGCTGTCTCTTTCCTAGCTCTTTGAGGGAAACTCCACATTGCCCATTGTGTCAGAACAGACTGACTTACAAGAACACACACACATATATGAAGTAGGAGGGAGGTAAACTAGTTAAAGTATCTTAATTTTAAGATTAGCTGAGAGGTTTCTGTAGCTATAGTAAGAACAAGGAGCAGCGTAATCTCCGCAGTGAACCGGAGGAGGGAAGAGCCCTTTGCAGTGCTGGGGGTACCTGGGGCAGCAGTGCTGCCTGGCCAGTTGGGCGTCCTGCTGTCCTCTGCAACGGCAGGGTCACTGTTTGAGGTTACCTTACATGCACCATCTCTTTTACACCTTGAAAAAGAGCTTTATGCATTGCCCACAGCTGCGGAAGAAGAGACTGAGACACCTGAGGTATCTCATAGCCACATGGTCAGGAGAAGGAAACCACAGGCTTGAATGTATTTTGTCCAACAGCTTTCAGGTCTACCTCCTACAGCAACTGCACACCTCTGAAACTGGTGCTTTTCCTCACAGTTTAGTTTCTCCTCAATGTTTCTAAAGCCTATTGCATGTGGTTTTTGTTATAGGAAGGGTGCATTCAGTCCCCTTTTCCTGCATGATCATGATGATGTACTTTGATAGCAACACCTCGATTATTTTTCTTTGTTCTTCTCCACATGCCATTGCCCTACACAAGTCATTTACCATGGGAAGTTGTGGCACCGCTTTCTTCACAAAACCTCTGTCACACAGCAGCAATTTTAGGTGGATGATTTTGGGAATTTTTTTAGGATTTTTGTAAATATGGCTGATTTCCAGAGAGTATTTCATTCCTGACAATATGGATAGGGACTGAGATGAATAATGGTGATTAGCATCTTGTACAGACTGAAACATAATTTCTAAAAAATTGTCGATCAAAATTATTGTTAACTTTATATTGCTGGTTCTCAGGGTCACCCAATAAAGAAGGAAAATCTCTAAATATGCACATAAGGAGAAAATATTTCTTCTGATTATTTCAATGATTCAGAAGTTAGGTTCATAGCATCATAGGCTTGAGGGCAAGTGAAATTACACAGCACTATAGTGTGGAGACAGAGCAGTTAAATGAAGACATTTCATTTGATTTAAGAGTATGAATTATTAATCACAATCTGAGTAGAAGAAAATTTATGGATTCACTCTGTCTTTTATGCGCCTATGAGATTTTACTCCAAGTATGTTTTTTAGCCAACCAGCCACTTCTCCACAAAATCAAAGCTGACTTGACATAGCTGATATTCCAAAGATTTAAGAGGGAAGCTGTTTTTCGAATTCAGTTTGTTGTCACAAAGAAATAAATGTACAATGCCAGCTTTTTTAAAAAGATGCTTTGTAAAGAGTCTATTGAAACATAATCGAGACTGATTGAAGTCAACATAGCATTTTCAGTTGATCTATATTCTGCATAAAAATTCTTGTTTCCACAAACATAAACTCTTATCCCTCTCCAATAAGCAGGCATTGAATAGTTCAGAAATAGTAGTGGAGAATTTTTACATTGTGTTTAAATCAGAAAATTAAACATATTTCCAAGCTTTGTTTTGTTTAATCCAATTTCAATTTATTAGTCATCCATTTGAATACTTAATTATTAATCATTTAATTAAGTAATTTTAACAGATCTTTCCTATCGTCAACCCTAAACACAAGAGGCCAGTTTTACTTCTGTCCTTACAGTTACACATAGTGTGTAACTACTTTTTAAAGGCAAAAATAGAGAATTAATTTCCTGTCTTTAGGTACTCCTAGGTTTTTGCCCCAGTGCATCACAGTGCCTACGGCTCTGTGCTTTATTAACTCTAAGCTGAACGCATCGCGTGCTGGCCTTGTCGCTCAGGTTCTTCCCTGGAAGAGAGCAGGGTTACATATTATGGCACTATTACAGGTGCAAGTTTACTTTCTTTTCCTATTGTTTGTTTGAATTTTCCTGCTTAAGTAACTCACTTCACTCTTCTGTGGAAGTTGTCAAGGAACATTAGTTTCTAGAAGTGTTTATGTACAATGCTGCTGCTCTACCACTACTGTCGTTGAAGGAGCCTTCAAGAAAATACCTATTTTAAAAAAACCCACAAATGTGCTATGAGAAAGGGAATAATAGAAGGTCTGAATCTTAAATACTGGATGTTTAGGCCCAGCACACTGGTATGCTCCAGGTATATACATTTTAAGGCTGAGTTGTTTTGATTGTTTTGCTGGAACAGGTTATTGTTTTCAGCCTGGTTTGGTGCAGTTATTGTTTACTTTCTGGCCCTTGATAGCTGAAAATACCTATAGATATTAATATGGTTCCCTTCCCACAGGTTATCTAGCTTCCATAGGTTAGTATTGTGTTGTCACCAGCTGATATCATCCAACCACATGAGATTTTAAGTAATATGCACTGGCTAAGTCTTCTTAGGAACTGTTTTTAACCAATTCGCAGGAAAGCTTCAAGGTCCATTGCAATAGTGTCCATCTTTATTAGCACATTAAAGTATTTCCTGAATACTACTTTGTGAAAGGTCACCTGTTTAGGGAAAAAAAAAAAAAGAAAATCACCGGGTTTACTTACGTAGTCTATGATCCTGGAAAAAGGTTGTATTAGAGAGAACCAGGAAAATAACCACACTGGAAAAGCTGACCAGAGGCAAGTACTGAGTAACCAATGGACATGACATGGTTTAGCCACTGACTGTTCATTTTCTACTTCTAGTATAGGCTAGAACTCCTCCTCTCTATTAAGCTTCTGGAATTCAATCAGAATGAGCTGGTTGATTTGTTTTTTATTAATGCAGGGGTGGACCAGGCATTACCACAAGAACGTCGAACTCCTGTTACTCCGTCCTCTTCCTCTCGATATCACCGTCGCAGGTCCTCAGGGTCACGGGATGAGCGCTATAGATCGGGTAAGTAGAACTGAAGACCACAGAATTGGAATGAAAATTTGAAATGGCTCGTTCCGTTCTTTGCTTTTTTAAAAAGAATTTTGTTGTAAACTCATGTAGTAGCTATGCATGGGAAATATTCGTTGTATGAATACAGAGGCACTGTCCGGGCATGCAGGGGTGGAGTTACAAAGCCAAAGTACATCTGAAATTGAATCTGACAACAAATATGAAGGGCAACAAGGAGGGCTTCAACAGGCACATCAGCAGCAAAAGGAAGACTAGGGAAAATGTGGGCCCACTGCTGAATGGGGCAAGGGACCAGGTGACAAAGGGCATGGAAAAGGCCAAGCTACTTAATGTCTTCTTTGCCTTGGTCTTTACTGGTGAGACTTGTGTTCAGGAATCCAAGGCCCCTGAGAGCAGTGGGAAAATCTTGAGCAACGAAAACTTACCCTCCGTGAAGGAGGATCAGGACAGGGAACATTTGAACAAACTGAACATGTACAAGTCTATGGGACGTGATGGGATGCATCATTGGGCAGTGTCACTGTGAGGCCACTCTCAATTCTTTGAAAGGTTGTGGCAGTCAGGGGAGGTTCCTGAAGACTGGAAGAAAGCAAGATTCATTCCTGTCTTCAAGAATGGCAAGAAGTAGGATCCAGGAAACTACAGGCCAGTCAGCCTCACCTCAGTCTCTGAGAAGGTGGTGGAGCAAATAATCCTGGAAGCTATTTTTAAATATATGAAGGACAAGGACGTGATTGGCAGTAGTCAGCATGGATTTCTGAAGTCCTCTTTTTATGCTGGTCAATCCATGCTTGATCAACCTAATAGCCTTCTACAATGAGATGACTGCCTTGGAGATTGAGGGAAGAGCAGTGGATGTTGTAAGCCTTGAAAGGCTTTTGACATTGTCTGTCATAACATCCTCATTGACAAACTGGTGAAGTATGGATTAGATAATGGACTGAAAATTGGCTGAAGTGTTGAGCTCAGAGAGTTATGATCAGCAGCACGAAGTCCAGCTGGACACCAGTTTCTAATGGTGTACTCTAGGCGTAAATACTGGCTCCAGTATTTCATAATAGCTTCATTAGTGATCTTGCTGGTGAGACAGAGTGCACCCTTCACACATTTGCAGATGATGCCAAATTGGGAGGAGTGGTTGATAACCCAGATGGGTGTAATGCCATTCAGGGGGATCTGAACAGGCTGGAGGAGTGGCCGAACAGGAATCTAGTGAAGTTTGACAAAGGGATATGCAGTCTTGTGCCTGGGGAGGAATAACCCCATGCACTTGGACAGGCTGGGGGCCCACCGTCAGGAAAGCAGCTTGGCAGCGAAGTCCTTGTGGTCAATAAGGTTAACGTGGGCTAGCAAGGTGCTCTTATGGCAAAGGCAGCCAACAGCCTCCTGGGCTGCACTAAGAGGAATGCTGCCAGCAGGTCGAGGGAGGTGATCCTTCCCCTCTGCTCAGCACTGGTGAGGCACATCTGGAGTGCTGGGTCCAGTCCTGGGTTCCCCAGTACAAGAGAGAGATGGACATACTGGAGTGAGTCCAACAAAGGACCACAAAGATGATTAAGGAATAGAGCCTCTCAAATGTGAGGAGAGGCTGTGAGAGCTGGGGTTGTGCAGCCCGGACAAGAGAAGGCTCGGGGGGATCTTATCCGTGTGTATAAGTACCTGATAGGGGAAGTAAAGAAGATGGAGCCAGACTCTTCTCAGTGGTGCACAGTAACAGGACAAGAAACAGTGGGCACAAACTGAAATGTGAAAAATTCCATTTAAGCGTAAGAAGACACTTTTTTACTCTTAAGAATGGTTAAGCACTGGCACAGGTTGCCCAGAGAGATTGTGGTGTCTCCATCCTTGGAGCAGTTCAAAACCCCACCAGACATGGCCCCAAGCAAGCTGCTGTAGGTGACCCTGCTTTGAGCAGGGAAGTTGGACTGGATGATCTCCAGAAGTTTCTGCTGACCTCCACCAGTCTGTGGTTTTGTGGCACAGCTGGACTTTATTGTACTGGTTCTAATTCGGTGAATGCTGTAAGAAAAATATTTAATTTGAAGTACAGCAAGATGGGAGCATCATTATGCCCTAAATAGAAGCACTGATTAAGGGAAGGTAAAATTAATTTCAGAGCCGAACAAAAGGGTAAAATCTCATTTCTAAATGAATGGGATCCAAGTCTCTTCACGATGCTGCTCCAGACATAACACAAAGTGAAGGAAGTGATTGGTTTATAACTGAAGGAAAAGTGAGCTCTGAAACTGCTTTACTCTTACCTTTGAAGGCATAAACTCCCTGTACTACACCTTAACTGGATGAGGGGTAGGTATGCTTGGCTGATGCTTCAACGGCTACAGGGACTGCTGCAGTATAAGCACACTTCTCAGAGGCCACGGGCTGGTTTGTCTGCTGCTGCCTCTCTTGCAGCTGCAGAGTAAGGAGCTCTAGACAGCAGCACCCATCAACTGTTGTGGCAGGGAGACCCTTGTGGGCTGAGAGTCAGGAGCCACGGACTGATGGTTGTGGAAGGCACCAAGGAGCCAACTGTGGAAGTTCTGGATTATGTTTGAGAGATGCATCTCGCTGGATGCAGTCGGACTCATTGCAGTGACACAACTGGAAAATTATAGAGAACTCCTTATTAAACCTTTTATAACATATCTCTGGTTCATTCCATTAGTCAAAAAGCTTGCTGGTCCCAGTTAAAGGAAAATTAAATTATAAATGTTGGCAGAGAAAGTTCATATATGTCCAGACCATTTTGATAAATTTGAAAAACTCCCCTCTCCCCTCAGAAACCTTGGGTTCACACTGTAGATGCTTCCAGTTTTTCAGTGAATAATGGTTGTGGGATCTGTGTAATAATTCCTTGACACATAAGCTCCTAGAAGCTTCTCCCACATTATACTAAAAATCTTGTGATTTCTACCCAGTTCTTTTAAACAGGTAAAAATACTATTCCTGAAACTGCCTAGTTTATGGGTGTGCAACCCGTGGTCTTCAAACCTCCAAGCTGTGACTCTCCAGAGCAGTTCTGTTAAAAATATCTGTATTTGTGCGTTGAAAGTTGTCTGCTTGAGCTGTGCTTGCCATTTGTAAAAACTAAGATTTTGAGTCAGTTTGGGGATGGGTGAAAGGAGCCACCATGCACATCCTCCCTGTGTGTCCCTCCTGATGCCCCAGGAATGCTCAGAGTTGGTGTTGCTGCTCTTGGTTTCGGTCATTGCCTGCTGCCTTAAAAGGAGAGTGTTTGGTCAGTGAAGTGGTACATGAGGTCCTGCCTTAGGAATGGGGCAAAGTGGTGTGGTGATATATAGAAATAATAAAGACTCAAGCTTTGCTGCGGAGAGGAAAAGTAAGGAATTGAGTGCAAAGGGTTGTTGCTTGTTGTTAGTGCAGGAGTCTCAGCCTAAGAGAGTCAGGACTATTCTATAAATTCAGATCTCTCTTGCTGCTCTGAAAATGTCCTTGGTGTTAAAACTGGAAAGCTTGACAGTATTTTGGGGGTTATGGCAGGGTTTTGAATTTCTACCTTGATTGCTGTATAGCATGACTCCTCAGCAAGTCACGGAGCTCTCCAGCAAATTGGTTTGAACAGCTACCGCATCTTCATTCACTCAAAATAAAACTGTATGTGGCAAATGTCAATGAACTTAAATGTAAACTTCCATTTCAATTTTGAAAAGTTATCAGATCATCTTCTTCAAATTTAGTTTCGGAGGAGCTTTGCTAAGATACAGTGCAATGTTCCTATCCTGAATTGTGTTCTCCCCTTCTATACATTGCCCCCGTGAGATCAGAAGTCCGTTTCCTTCTTCATCTCGTGACTCCTACCTTCTATTACTGCACGTTGCAAACTTGCAAGTCAGATTTCTTTCTGGTTATCTTGTCTTCAGTTTCAGATTTGCTTCAGATAGAAGTCTTCGTTTCCCTTGTTGTTTTGCTGTGCTTAATACTCCAGCATCTCTGCTCTGATCGTACTGTGATTGTTAGATCCTAGCTGTTACCCACTTTCAGTGCTTGTTATCATATTTGGCACATCTTCATGGAAAAGGCCCAAACCAAAATGAATACACAGTCTTTAACCAATAAGTAATTCACTTCTAGGAAAATATTTCACTTCCTTAGGTTTTTTGCACAATTTATTTCAATTAGCATCTGCAAACAAATCCTCTACTCCAACTGATCAAAGTCCTTTTCTGTCTCTTCTTGGTAAGGTTTTCCTAATTGGAAGTCTAACATCCTGAAAGTCGTCCAACTCTCCTTCCATGCCTTTGCTTTTTACATAAATTTAGATGTCAGTGAAGATTGTTTAATGAACTCTCTTTGGAGACTCAAAATCATTGCTGCCACTAATATCACCTTCAACTAATGCTCTTTTATTATGGAAAATGTCAGACTGTGACATTTTAAATCCCTACCTATTTTCTTACTTCAGTCTTTTTTATTATTATTATTTCATTAATGTCGTAACAGATTTTTTCAGCACTATAATTTGGAAAACCTGGTTTCTGTGATTTTTATATTCTAAATAAAATTGGCTCTGAGTTTATGGAAGCTCTTTTTTTTCCTGAATGTTCTCAGTACATTTTGCATTTTAAGATAATTTGATTTTAGAATTCAGCCTACATTGGGAATTTAGACTAATTCTTTAAAACCAGAAAGGTTTAAAATTTCCTGGCTGCTTCTTTTTTACACAGGAAGGGATCCTGAAATCATTATGTTTCAAAATGTCAGCTTCTTTGATCGTTTTTCGGATGTCTAGAGAAACAGATAGTGCTATGAGTGTACTAACTGAATCAGTGCAGGGTTAAGCTATATTATTTACTGTATACAAATGTAGCTGATATTAATTCAGAAGCACTTTTTATTTGTTTACTACTGAATTTGAAGATCCGCTTAGTATTTACTCAGTTAGAAACAGTATTTGGAAAGGTTTGCCAAACGTAGATCCTCTTAGCAGCTGCCTTTCCTTAGCTGGTGCCTGTACTATAACATTATCTGGG